AAAGGCATCCAGTTTAAAAGAAGTATAGTGTCACTATTTGCAAGTACCATGATATATAATGGAAATTCTACTCCACATTTAAAAACTGTTACAATGAACAAATTCAGTGAAGTTACAGATTACAAAATCAGTGTATAAATATCTGTTGCAGCTCTTATACTCTAAACAAACTATCAGAAAGAGAATTAAGAAAGACACCCATTTATAATTGGATCAAAAAGAATTTTAAAAACCTAAAAATAAATTTAACCAAGTTGAAATGCCTGTATGTACACTGAAAAATACAAGGCATTGATCAAAAAAATTGAAGAAGACACAAATGAATGGAAAGGTATTCCATTTTCATGGATTGAAAGAATCAGCATTGTAAAAATGTCCACACAGTCCCAAGCAATGTACAGATTTAGTGCAGTGCCTATTAAAATCTCAATGACATTTTTCAGATAAATAGAATAAACAATTCTAAATTCATACAGAACAATCAAAGACCCCAAATAGCCAAAGAAGAGTTGAGAAAGAACAAAGTTGGAAGCATCATGTCTCCTGATTTCAAATGATAGTACAAAGCTGTAGTAATCAAAACAGTATGGTATTGGCATAAAAACAGACACATCTATCCATAGAACAGAAGAAAAAACCCAGAAATAAACTCATGTATATATGATCAATTAATTTACAACAAAGGAGGCCGCACTGTACAATGGGGAAAGGACAGTCTCTTCAATAAAGATTTTGGGAAAATGGACAGCCACATACAAAAGAATGAAACTGACCACTATCTTACATCACATACATAAATTAACTCAGAATGGATTAAAGACTTGAATGTAAGACCTGAAACAATAGAACTCCTAGAAGAAAACAGAGGTAGTACGTTTCTTGAGATCAGGTTTTTGTGATAATTTTTGGGGGGTTGGCACCAAAAGCACAAGCAACAAAAGAAAAAATAAACAAGTGCGCCACATAAAACAAAACCTTCTGCACATCAAAGGTATCCATCAACAATGAAAAAGTCATCTACCAAATGGGAGAAAATATTTGCAAATCATATACCTGATAAGGGGTAAATATCCAAAATATATAAAGAATTTATATAACTCAACAGCAAAAAAAAAAAAAAAAATTGATTTAAAAATGAGCAAAGAATCGGAATAGACATTTTTTCCACAGAAGACATTCAGATGACCAACAGGTACATTAATTCCTGCTCAATCACTAATCTTCAAGGATAAGCAAATATGTACCACAGTGTGAGACACCTCACACCTGTTAGGGTAGTTATTATAAAAGAGGAAGTTGCAAGTGTTGTCAAACATGTGGAGAAAGCTAACCCATATACACTGTTGGTGGGAATGTAAATTGGTATAGCCAGTGTGGAAAACAGTATGGAAGTTTCTTTTAAAATTAAACATGAAACTACCATACTATCCAACAATTCTGCTTCTGGGTGTTTATCCAAAGGAAACAAGAACACTAACTCAAAAAGATATGCATTCCTTCCATGTTCATTTCAGCAGTATTTACAATAGCCAAGACATGGAAGCAACCTGAGAGTTCATCGAGGAATGAATGGATAAAGAAGACGTGGTACATATGTACAGTGGTATTTTATTCAGCCATTAATAAAAAGGAAATCCCGTCATTAGTGACAACATGGGTGGACCTTGAGGGCATTATGTTAAGTGAAATAAGGCAAATACCGAATCTGCTTACTTATACACGGGATTTTTTTAAAAAACCCTAACTCATAGATACAGAGAATGGCTTGGTGGTTGCCAGCGATGGGTAAAGATGGTCAAAGTGTCCCAACTTCCCATCATAGAATAACAAGTCCTGGATGTATAATGCACAGCATGGCAACTATAATTAATTCTGTGTTGCATATTAAAGTTGCAAAGATTAAAAATTTTCATAAGAAAATAACTATCGATGATGGTAATCTTTTCACAATATATACAAATATCAAATTATGTTGTACACCTGAAACTAATAAAATGTTCTATGTCTACTATAGGTTAAGTAAATATTTTTAAATTAAAATCGTTAGAAATTTTTTTTTAAAGACAATGTAGGTTTTGCTGGCAGGTAGTAATTTTTGTAGGTATATAAAAACTACCCAGAAGTCACTGAAAGGACATGCAAAATACGATGTTTGTTTTTAAAACAGAAATCTGGTTTCTCATGTGAACCCACTGCCCAGTTTTCTTGAGGCTGCCCCTCAACGTCGTTCCCAGGTTAAAAAGCGTGTTGCTGGCTCTCCACACAGTAGAAGACACCACGCTGGTTGTTTCCATCAAGGACAGAACAAGAGGGAATGACCTTCCTCAAAAGGAGGAGGTGTGAGTATGGGAGAGAACTCCCTGACTGTGAACGTCCATGAGACACCATGAATGACGTGTGGTACCCCGCCAAGGCTACTGGGACAGTCACCTTCACTGGGGACTCTAGCCACGTGCCAGGGAGTGGGCCAGCTGACACCCAGCTCCTTGAAAAAGGTGCTTCGGCTCAGACCTCTTACCTCCCCAGCTGCCCACTGCCTGCGCCTCAAGTGGCGTAAGAGGTCCACGGGTCTATTACTGCGTTTCAGGCTTGGGACGGGGCGTGGGGTGCAGGGACATAACCAGGCCTCCATGACTGGCTGCCTTCGGCAGATTGATTTATGCAACGCTCCCTGTTTCTTAGAAAAAGGTCCATAAATAGCAAAGAAGGGAACTACCAGATTCTAATGAGTCAGCCAGCCTGCATGGCTTCAAGGAGAAAGGAAGAAAGCCACTCCTAGGTGCACGGCTTCTGTCACTTGGAGAAGCCCTGGAGGGCAGCCCCTGACAGCTGGGAGGAGGGGCAGCAGCGGGGGCTTCCTGGGAGCAGGGCACGGGGTGCCGTTTCCCTCTGGAAAGGTCCCCTGGGGAGGAGTTTCCCCCAAACATCGACCATGATTCGTTCTCAGCATCTGGTTAATGTTTCTGGTAGAGTGAGACGGGCAGACCAGAGAGGCTGGAAGCAGCCACCCCCCAGGGGAGGGGCACAGAAAGAAACTCCAATTGCGAGCTGTCGTTCCGCCCGGGGGCGGAGCTGGAGCGGGGCACCTGGGCCGGCGCAGGCTTCTCCACCCTTCCCGGTGCTGCCTCCCTCTGGTGCCCCAGCGGCCCCGTCGCCTGCTGCTCACGTGACCATCATGGCTCCCTCTGCCGCACTTACCTGTTTAGTGTTAATTTGCGGGGCTCAGACCATTTCTAATTTGGAATTATCTGGGCCTCGCCCTCGAGACCTTTTTCACGTTCAAGAGCACACAGAAAATGATATATAGGTGGTGCAAGAGGCTGCTAGTTTGAGAGATTATATCTCAGCACGCCTTTAATAACCCACTCAAAGCTCAAACACACCAGTTTGAGAAGCTCCATGGAAAAGACCAGCCGGTAACAGGTAACAGTCGGCTGAAAGAATGAGTCAGTCTATTTAGAGGATTAAGAGTCATCTGAATTAGGCAGATAAAGATCTGAGCAATTGATGGAAGGAACGGGTCTTATAGGAGAAACACAGGTGGGACTGAGCAGGACCCGAGTAGAAGGAGCGAACGGAGGAGCAGTACGTGGGTTCCCTCAGCACTAGACCCCCTTCCCAACTTGACCTTTCATCCCTGCTTTGCACGCCCGGCCTCCCTGAATGAAGCCACATTGCTCGCTGCTCTGCAAGTCCCTCGCTCCCCTCTGAGCCTCTGCGATGGCCTCTCCCGCCAGCCACGCCACCGCCGGCAGGACAGCTGGCCATCTCGGGGCCCACCTGGAGGGCCACCTCCACGGGAGTCTCCTCTCTGCTCCCACGGGGGCAGGCGGGGGCGTGTGGGCTCCGTCATCACATTCTCTCGTCTGAGTTCCATCTTTTTTTTTTCGGTCCTTTCAATGAAGTGTCAGTTTCATCCAGTCAGAGACTGAGGCCCTCTCCTTGCTGTTTCCTTTCCCCGTATCAGCTACACGATAAATGCACATGACATTGAACGCTATGTCCCAAGTGGCTGTGGGAACACCGGGCTTCTGCGCGCAGGGAGGCAGGGTGCCAGGAAATGCCCCTTATGGTAAACCGCAGTCAGAACGCTTTTCTTATACCCAGGACCCATAACTCAGACCAGTGAGCCTCTGTGCCCGAGAGCCAGGCCCTACGTCTATCCCTAAATCTGTGATTGAATTGACACTTTGCGTGGCAAGGTCGCCCTGCAGGCTTGGGCTTCGAGCCAGACCAGAGGCAGAAGCTGAGAACAGCAGACCCGACGGAACAGAGGGCCCCGTTTCCGGCAAGAGGAGGCTCCTGCGGGGCCACGGGGAGGGCGGGGAGACATGGGGCGGAGTCGGGGGGGCGGGGCATGAAGCGGGCAGCTGTGGCCCACGCCCCCTGGCGCCTCCCAGGGGTCAGGCTGCAGGCACCGCTAGCGTAGGCTTCCCGGTAGCGAGTAAATGAATGCTGACCCCCTGATGGCCCCTCCCTCCTGGGAGACGTACCACCCTGAGCGGCAGGCCAGCGCTAGGGTGTGTCCTGGTGATCACACGGGTGCTGGCGCTCAGCCCCCCTCATGCTGATCTGAGACACTGCACCGCCCACCCTCACTGCTTCCATCACAGTCGGGCTGTGGTCCGAGGGAAAGATCCTTCCATTTTTAATATTTTTATTTTTTTTTACATTTAAAGGTAATTCTCTTTTTTGTTTGTTTTTTTTGGGGGGGGGCATTGGTTTGTTTGTTGTTTTTGCATTTAAAGGGAATTCTTACCTCCTCTCGGCCAGGCCCTCATTCCCCTGGCCCGTCTGTTGAGCCGCTCCCCTTTGCACTTGGAGTGTCACTATTGAGACAAGGGACTGCCCCTCCCCCTAGGCCCTCCTTGGCATCGCCCCAGGCTCTGCTGCCTCGGTCGTTGCTGTAGAGTTTGGTGAGTGAAATGTATTGCCACGACGGTGCTGAAAGTTCCCAAGCTCCCGGGTGACTAGCGGGATGCGCCCTCTTCCCCCTACAGGCGCAGAGGGCGCACAAGAAATGCCCTGCACCCCGCGGAGCCCGCCACCCCTCGGAGCAGGAGCCTCGCCGCGCGCCCTCCCCGAGCTCCTCGGCGCAGAGCCGCGCCCCTGGCGGCGACCAGCAGGCCCCGCCGGGCAGCCCCCGCCTGGGTCCCCGCCGGCCGGGGCTGCCTGCCCGGCACCAGCGGGGATTGGCCGGACGAACCAGCAGCTCCCCCAGCGAGTCCCTGTTTCCAAGGAGCAAGTCCTTGTTTTGTTTGCGCACAGAGGACCCCTCCGCAGCCCGCTCGGATGTGCCGCAGTGCCTGTCCGGCACAGGTGCCCCAGGGCACTGGGCATCGGATCGGAGACACGGCCACCTGCTCTCCATCGATGACTTAGAGGGGTCCCAAGAGACGGATGTGGACACGGGCCTGCGGCTGTCTTCCTCCGACCTGTCAGTGGTCTCTGCCTACTCTGCGCCCAGTAGATTCTGCAGCACCGTGGAAACGCCCCTCGCCTCCGAAGGATGTGGCGGCCACTGCCCCAAGCACAAAGGTGCCAGAGGAGGACCGCCACCCACTGGGAGCGGGGTGACCGCGGAGATGCCCTGGGCTTCCCTCCCTCTCTTTGCCAAAGGGCCTCCCTGCTCCTTGGCGACAGCTGTTGCTGCGCCCGCGGCTTCTGGTGTCACCTCACGCACAGGATTGTCCCCCAGGCTCCCTGGAGATGCTCCCAACACCGAGCGAACTGGCAGAGACATCGCACCACCCCCAGCCCTGGCTGGACCCGGGGACAGTGACACAGAGGAATTCTATATCTGAACACCCTCTACTCCGTTTTTTTTTTCCCACCGCCCCCCCCCTCTCCGCTTCTCCCTCAGCCCCCCGACACACAGCTCAGCCTGGAACCTGATTATCTGTTTCATGGGATCGTTAGCGCGTCTGCCAGGCCACCCCTTCTAGGGACTGGGTGGGAAAGCGCTGGCATTTTTATGCAAATAAATTCTCAAGCATAAGTCGTAAAGTATATTTTTAGAATGCTCAATTCCATCTGAGAGATGGTTTAGTGCGTTTATACCATTCAGCTGCTCCATCCAATTATTTGAAATGAAAAGAAAACCTAGTCAGCCAGAGCTGATTTGGCAATTTTTCATGCTATGAAGGAAGAACAATTAAAACCAAAATGTTGAATGGGGGAGAGATACTGACTTGTATGAGAAATTAATGCACAGTAACATATTGTACAACATACTAGATTTTCCAGATAGATTCACATGACCAGGGAACAGGGACCCTAGGACTTCCCAAGTACTGCGTCTGGTGACAAAAGTCAGCTTGCAGAGGCAGCTGCACACATAGATCAAACCCCCATCATCCCTCGCTCAGGTGCCTGGCCACATCTGAGAGTCTGCATTTACACTGAAGTGGCTAATGCACTTTATAGGCATTTAGCATGAGTGCATTTGGGTGCGTTTAAAAATACGCTTTGGTGCATTTAAAAATACGCTTTGAGTTCCCAAAACTAGATTTGCATTCACCTTCCAACAACACATTCACTGTAACAAGTGAGGGGCTACAGAAGACCACCCCACCCCCTGGATTTATTAGGATCACTGAAATTCCAAAAGGATACAGGATTTAGACAGAATGGGTAGGTAGTCTTAGGATTCTTCAGTTTTTTAAAAAGCTGCAACCTAAAGGGCTGTGTATGTATGTACCTATCTAAATAACAGCAGCTACATTTTCTACTGCTTTCTCCAGGAAGCAGGCCTTGCCACCCTGGCTTTTTCACTTTTCAAGAATGTGTAACATTTTAACTGACGTTTTCGTCGCACACATTAATAAATGCCTCCTGTCCTGGGAACGGGGAGCTGTGCACGGGAAGCTCCCTGAATGCACACGCCAAGGTGCTAGCCTTGCACGGGGGTGCAGGCGCCTTCGCTGAGGCCAGAGCTTCCTCTGGGCCTTGGGCCTTCCTGCCTGTCGTTGGCCTCTGTCGCAGTGTGAGCGGTAGCTCAACCTCACCTCCCAGACCCGTAGGGTACATGTCCCGTTCCACCCTCAGCAATGCCAAGGGCAGCCATCGGGGGCGATAGCGAGCTGTCCCGTGGCTGTTTACCTTTGGGGAAGAGCTGGCGTTTGCCTTGCTCATTTCCCGATCCGGCGCTCCTTGCCCGTGTGACTCACAGCCCATCCTCACCTCTCTGGAAGCGCCCACACCGGCCCGTGCAGCCTCGGAACCCTCCCCACGGCCCTCCAGGCAGCTGCTCCCAAGCCCAAGATTCGCATAAAGCCTCAGTCTTGGCCACCCCTGTCAATGAAAGCCTTAGATCTTGCCCCCAACACCCTGGATATTCCAGGACTCCGAATTATAGGATTCCACTCCAGTTTAAGTAAATAAAAATATGGTCTCTTAAAATTCTAAACCAGGAGTGAGTAAAGGTTTTCTGGAAAGGGCTAGATAATAAGTTTCTTAAGCTTTGCCAACTGAATGGTCTCTATCTTAATTACTCACCTCTGCCATGAGCGCGGGGAAAGCAGCCAAAGACGATATGTAAACGAGCGGGGGTGGCTGAGTTCCAATAAAACTTTGTTTACAAGAGCAGACGGAGGACCAGATGTGGCTCGAGAGCTGCAGTTTGCCAGCGCTCAGGCTGGACTGAGGTGGGCTTAAGACCCCAGCCACCGTGCATGACAAAGGATCTAGGTCTGCAGTCCCTGCTGCCCCCTGGGTCATGAGGCCAGGAGGGTGGGCTCCTCGGGTCACGCCGATGACCCCAGACCCGCAATGAGGGGCTTCTTTCTACAAAGAGGATTCCTAGAAAGCCACTAGCTGTCCACCTCCTGCCCAGAAATGTGACTCGCAATCAGTAACTGATGATGAAAAGCAACAGGCTAACGTTAGAGAGAAGGGGGAAAATAACGTGGAGGGGGCGACTCAGCCTCCAGCGAAGGGGGGGGGGGGCAAGCTCAGGAGCAGCAAAAATCGATGAGGCAGAAAGGAGTGGACCAGCAGCCCAGGGGCGGCTCCTCCCGTCCTCATCCTCAATCAGGACCCTTAGTTCAGTGTCCTCGCGTGGACCCCTAGAATCGCCTCTGAGTCCACCTCGGATGCTCTCTGGCCCCGTCCTTTTCCAATGACCCACCCTCAGCTGCCCCCGAACGATGTCAGCAGCACCACGGAAAAGCAGAAAATGCAAGGCGTCCCCGTAACACAGAGAGAAGGGCAGGGAAGCCCACCACAGACCACAGTTGCCCCCCTTGCCTGCCCTGTGGTGCCACGGTCAGAAACGGCGGCCACTGTGTGGAGAAGGAATCGCAGGGACGGAGCCCTCGCTTCCGTTCCTCGTCATACACTAGCCTCTCCCTCGTCCACCGAGGCGCCTGACACCCACGGGCGGGTCTGCCTCGTGGGCTGTCACTGTCATGATGGATGCTGGCCTACTGGGGTGCTCCATAAATGTGTTCCACTTAAAAACACTGAGGCTTCTCTCCTGGATTAGGCTCTGTGATGCAGGCGATCCCCTAATTTTCTCATTTAACGGAACCCTGTTTCTTCCCCTTGGCCTTGCGCTTGCCCCCGCTGGCCCCAGGGGGCGCTCTTAGCAAGTGCCTTTGTCTAGTTCACAGCCGTCCCTTATTTGCCTCCTTCCCCAAACAGGCTCCCCAGAATTACTGCTCAGAGTTACTCCTCCATGGCCCTACCCGGAGCACCACCTTGGTATCTGCCCTCAAGCTCGAACGTGTTCCAGGGCGGTCCCTAGCTGACCTGCTGAGCCCGGGTCACCCGTGGAGGCACAGTGGGGCCACCAAAGAGGTTCCTGCGATGGTGGGAGGGCTGCTGTGTGGCCACACTAAACAGGCGGTGGCACCAGGTGCCTCTTGAGCCCAGGGGCCCAATGGCAGAGAAGAGCCCGCAGAACCCTACCGGGATGGGCTGCCCAGGACATTCCAGGTGGGGGCGGGTGTTTTCCACTGCCAGGAAAACACTCGAGTTCATGGCTGATGTCTCAGCCACAAGTAAATCAGGAGACATGAGGGCATCTCCCTATTGCCCTACCGGGCTTTCTGTGGGTGAACAAACCCTCTCACCCATCAGCTGAGAGGGGCCTGAGTAGGTGGGCAATTCCTGGAAGAGATCCTTAAAGGCAAATTAGCTGGAGAGCCTCTCCCTCCCAAGCCCACAGGACAGTATCAGTGGCCGCCTCTGGCCAGCGACCCCAGGACTGAATTTCAGGAGAGCGGTGGGAATAGCTGAGTGTCCCCTTCGGCCTCTCTGCCCAGGGCCCCTGCTCCCTGGGCTTGACTTGGACAGAAATGCCTCCTTCTGATTTGTAAGAATCCACTTCTCTTTAATCCTCTGTTAATACAATTGACGAGGTACTGCGGCGGCTTGAGAAAATAACAGGAGAAATCAACATGAATAAAAACGGATCCTGGAAGGAAACACCTTTTGTCACAATGATGACAGATGGATTCATGAGGGGTCCAGAACCTGAGTCTAAAGATGTTCACATAATTACGTTCTTCCATCTTCTACTGGCGGCCTTTTCCTAATCTTGAGCATAGAGGCCTAAATACAAATGACTTGAAAGGACATAATTTATCTGAGTAAGAGAGGCAAAAGCGAATGGTGATGTCAGCACAGTTGGGTCTTTTTCACAGTTTTCTGTCTTAAAAGTGTGATAACTATTGGCCAGTTATGTGGCCGCTATTAGGAGCAATATATTCATTTCAGACAGAAGTCACCAGAAAGAACATGTGGTGAAGCTGAAGAGGCCCCCTCCCCATGCCCCTGGGACACCCTCCCTAAGCTCCCCCACCCCTTTTGAAACATCGATCTGAAAGATGCCCGCTAGATTCCCTTAGGTCACCTTTGCCGAGTCCCCCAGTGCCTTTTGGACAGAGCCGCTCAGAATGTGGGATGGTGACGGGAAAGCTTTGGCGCCACCTGGTGGCCGCCATGCCCGAGAGGGTCAGCAGCGGCCCTTTGCATTCAAGACTCCACCTGGATGAAACGGAAGCCTTCTGTTTATTATTCTGCATCTAATTATTTATTTCTACCATGTATCGAGGCAACTAAAATTGCAATGACGTAAGACAGCGCACACAGAAATAGAAAACTGGGGCTAAGAAAAACGTTTCTAAGTATGCCAACCACAAAGGAAAAAGGTAACTGCTAAGGATGAATTTCCTAGAAGCCAAAGCTCAGCTGTTTTCACTTGTGAGCAGAAAATCTGGTGACGTCCTAGTCCTTTGTAACTGAAGTGGCCTCGATGTCCTTCCTCAATGGAAACCAAGTTTTTCTTAGCACAGATTTCTAAAATCACTTTCTCAGAAGGGGGTTTCCTAAAGGATTCTCCCTACTGTGGTCCAAGTTGGTAGCTTTGTTGGTAGAGGACGAATGTACGAGACCTGGAGGCGGGGACACGGCCTCATCCCAGGACATGCCCCGCAGCACTGCTGGTGGCGGGAGATTTCGCCCTCGTCAGAGAACCTGGGGGCTGGCTGCCCCTGGCCTCTGGAGGCCAGATCGGCACAGTCCGGCGAGTGAAAAACAGGGGCGAAGACTCTCGTCCTCCTGGGAAAGTGGAGGCCCCTGGGGAGAGGCCACACCTGCTGGTGCTCCTGCTGCTTCCGCAGCATCCAAGCGGCTGCAGGGGACAACTCCGTGTCTCCATCTGCTCCAGGTAAGAGGCTTGGGCACTTGGAAGCTCCTCCCACTTTTCACTGACATTCTTGAATAACTGTTAGGAATTTGGGTCCCTGCACCTCTTTCGTCATTGCTCTGAGTAGATTTGTTTATTATCATTCACTCAACA